TCAAAGAAGGGCAGTTCTTGTGGCGCCGATATCGTGACAGAGAGCGAGGCGGCTGACGGGCTTCAAGAGATCGGGCTGACGGGAGTGGGCATGCGGGGGCCTGAGAAAATGGTCACGTGACTGGTCTGATGTTTATGTCATTACATTCATGGCTGCGGAGTCGCCAAGACAAAAGGAGAAGGGGGGGGGGAAGGGTTAGAATATGCTGTGTTTCTCTTTTCTTTCTTTTCTCTTTCCTCTCTCTCTCTCACTCTCTTTCTCTCTCTCTCTCTCTCTCTCTCTCTCTCTCCTCTCTCTCTCTCTCTCTCTCTCTCTCTCTCTCTCTCTCTCTCTCTCTCTCTCTCCTCTCTCTCTCTCTCTCTCTCTTTTCCACTTACATCTTTCTTTTCTCCTTCTCTGTCTTTCTATTATCTCTTCTCTCCCAGTTCTTATTTTTTCTTATTATTATCTGTGAATCCTTTACAAAATATACTTGGTGACAATCAGTCAGTTTTCTTTTATTTTTTAAAGATTCAAATCTGGGAACACGAGAGAAAAAATAACGGTTTTTTATTTTCACATGAAAACAGAAAATAAATTAGAACCGCGTGTGACTTGTCATACACTTGCCATGCGTAAATCAGCCATCTCTCTCTCTCTTATCTCTTCTTGCTCTCCTACTCTCCTATTCTTCTTTTCTCTCCTTCTATATCCTCCTCTCTTTCTCTCATTTGCTTCGCGACTGCCTTTCCATATTCTCCTACATTCTTCTTTTCCCCTTCCTTCCCTTCCTCTCACCCTCTCCTTCCTCTCTCCCGCTTCCTTTTCTCTTCGCCCTTCCTTCCCTTCCTCTCACCCTCTCCTTCCCTCTTCCCCCCTTCCCTTCCTTCCTTACCCTCCCTTTCCCACACTCCCTCCTTTCCCCCTTCCTTCCTTTTCTCTTCCCCTTCCTTCTTCCATCTTCCCCCTTCCCCTCCTCTCACCCTCTCCTTCCCTCCCCCCTTCCTCTTAACCTCTTCTTCCATCCCCCTCCCTCTTCCCCTCCCCCCCCCCTCCCCCCACTGCCATCTGCGAACCACACAGGAGCCTTCAAGATTATGTAAATGTGCGCGTATACGATCTCGCGCTGGGCTCAAAGTTGACCCTTAATCACTTAATGCCCAGCCTGGCACTATTCTGGCTCTCTAAGTGGCACCAACTGTTTTCTTATTGCTGAGTGCCCTGCTTTCTTTATCTTGTCCACTTTATGGAGTTTGTGGCCACTTTTTCTCGGTTCATTAGTTCGCTTTCATCTTGCGTGTGATAATTGTTTATATATGATTTGGAGTGAGATTTAACTTCGCGCGCGGTGCGAACTGGTAAATAAACAAATAAATTGAATGAATAAAGACATAAGCTGATGTATAAATATGTATAAATAAATTAAAATCACATTCTTGAATACCGACCGTAAGTCAGTGTCGTCACATTCATAAGAACCCTTTCCCCCTACTTCTCTTACCCCCCCTCCCTCTACCCCTAGCCCCCCAGTCGTCCCTTTGCCACCCGCCATAGCATAACCTCTCCTGCAATAGCACCATATGCCGCATGGGAAATGCCTACCCCCCTCCCATCCCTACCTCTAGGACCCCCTTTTCGCTCCTTCCTCCCCCTTCCCTTCCCTCTCTCCCCCTCTTCAGGCCCGTTTCTCGCCATTTCTTCCATCTACCCCTCCATAGGCTCCCTCCTCGCTTCCCTTCCCTCTCACTCACTACCCTTTCCCCTCCCGGTCCCTTTCCTATTCTCCCCATCTCCCTTTCTCGCTCTCCCCCTTCCCTATCCCCATCCCAGTTCCCCTTAAGCCCCTATACCTTCCTTCCCCCCTCCCCGTCTCCCCTTCTCGCTCGTTCCTCCCCTCTCCCTCCCCTTATCTCACCCTTATATCAACTCATTCGCACCCTCCCCGTATCTCCTTCCTCTCACAAACCCCTCCTTCTCCCCCCTGCGTCCCCTTCTTCATTCTACCCATACCCTGTCTTTATCTGTGCCCTCCGTCTGCCCTCATGCCCATACTATCCCCTAATCCGACCCTCTCCTTATTTCATGCCCGCCTTCCCGTCCCCAGCTCTCGGCGTTATGGTTTTCAGCTTTCTTTTGCCGCTCTCGCTCGCTCGCTCTCTCTCTCCTCTCTCCTCTCTCCTCCTCTCTCTCTCTCTCCTCTCTCCTCTCTCTCTCTCTCTCTCTCTCTCTCTCTCTCTCTCTCTCTCTCTCTTCTTCTCTCTCTCTCTCTCTCTCTCTCTCTCTCTCTCTCTCTCTCTCTCTCTCTCTCTGCTCTCTCTGTCTCTGTCTGCCTTTGTCTCTGTATCTGTCTATCTGTCTGTTTCTGTGTCTGTCTGTCTCTTTCTTTGTGTTTGTGTTTCTCTGTCTCTCTGTGTCTATCTCTCTTTCTTTCTCTGTCTCTCTCTCTTCTTTCTTTCTCTGTCTGTCTCTCCCTTTCTCCCTCTCTCCCTCCCCTCTCCCTCTCTCCCTCCCTCCCCCTCCCTCCCTCTCCCTCAAACTCTCTGCCTACCCACCTACTTCAGCATGTGTGTGCGTGCGTGTAGGTGTGACCGTACGTGCGTATGTCCGTCAGTATATAAAGTACACACGCCGACGTCCTACAAAGGTGCATCGCCTCATCGAGACTCCCGGCATGCATGACAGCTTTCCCGAAGGTCATGCACACACACGCTGGCGACGGCATGACCCTTAGACACCGAAATGCCGCAACGATCGCTGTCATTTTATACAGCCTTTGCACGACATGCGCTCTCGCGCTCTCGCTCTCTTTCTCTTTCTTTTTCTTTCTTTCTTTCTTTCTTTCTTTCTTTCTTTCTTTCTTTCTTCTTCTTTCTTTCTTTTCTTTCTCTCTCTCTCTCTCTCTCTTTTCTTCTCTCTCTCTCTCTCTCTCTCTCTCTCTCTCTCTCTCTCTCTCTCTCTCTCTCTCTCTCTCTCTCTCTCTCTCTCTCTCTCTCTCTCTCTCTCTCTCTCTCTCTCCTCTCTCTCTCTCTCTCTCTTTATTTATTCTATTGTATTTTTTATTATCATTTTTATCTTTTATTTTTTGTCTATTGTGTTCTTTTATCTTCTTTGATTTTATTTGTATTTTTTATTTCATTTTTTTGTCTATTGGTTATAATGACATTGCAATCGATTGAAGATTTTCTCGATATCATTAAAGTGGTATCATAGTTTACTCGATATGAAGGGAGGGAAGCACAGAAAGACAGAAAGAAAAGAGAGAAATAAAGAAAGAAAAAAAGGAAAATAACGAGAAAAAGTACGCTTATAAGAAAAGTGCAATGTGAAAATGTCTTTTGCTGTGTAAAGAAAAATCTGAACGTTTGACTTGTCACGCACATGAAAGACAAACTTCTTTTATCTGGCAACTTTTTCATTCGAATCATCGGCATTTTCTCCCCACCCCCCTCTCTCTCTCTTTTTCTTCTTTCTTTATTTATTATTTTTTTCTCTCTCTCTCTTCTCCTCTCCTTTCCCTCTCTTCTCTCTCTTCTCCTCTCTCTCCCTCTTCTCTCCCTCCCTGCCCTCCCTCTCCCCTCCTCCCTTCCTCCCCACCCCTCTCCTCCTCTCCTCTATACTCTCCTCTCCTCCTTGTCTCTCTCTCTCTTTCTCTCTGAAAAAAATAAACACACAGAACCACGGCATTTTTCACTCGCTAACTGACACGACTGGACCAAACGAACCCACAGATGAAGGCCTTAGCATACAGATTCACCATCATTGACAACCCTTACTGCCAGGCCCTCTTCCCCGGTCCCATAATTTCGCATAACCTCCCGATCTTGATGTTATGTAACTTCCGTGGTAGAGGGGGGAGGCAAGGAGGGGAAGGAATGGCAGGGGAGGGGGAAGGTGGCAGGGGAGAGAGGGAAGGGGAGGGAAAGGTGGCAGGGGAGAGAGGGAGGGGAAGAGGGAAGGGGCAGAGGCGGGGAAAGAGGGAAGAGGGTGGGCAAGGGGCTGGGGAGGGAAGGGAGGGGAAGGGGCAAGGAGAGGGGAGAGGGAAGGGAGGGAGAAAGCGTAACGGTTTTAGTTGGTTTTTTTTTGGGGGGAGAAGGAAGGAGGGTCAGACGGAGAGAGAGAGAGAGAGAGAGAGAGAGAGAGAGAGGGGAGAGAGAGAGAGAGAGAGAGAGAGAGAGAGAGAGAGAGAGAGAGAGAGAGAGAGAGAGAGAAGAAAGAGAAGACAGAGAGAGAGAAAAGACAGAGAGACAGATGACTGAGTCAGACAGACAGACAAAGACAGAGAAAGAAGGAAAGAAGAAGAGAACGAAAGAAAGTAAAAAAGAAAGAAGAAAATATATATACAATGTCAGAGCCCCGACGTGGAAATCAGCTGGCCGACGACCCTCCGATGGTCTTGTTCCTCTCGCTAATGTGTCGCTCATGAGGCCGCGTCTTGGCCTTCGTCTGACGTCTTTTTCCTTCTTATTCTTTCCTGCTTCTTCCTCTTATTTTCGGTCTTAACCTTCTATCATTGTGTATCTGTTTCCTGCTTCTTTCTCTTACTTTGGGACTTTTTTCCTTCTATCATTGTGTGTCGTTCAACCTTGCTTTCGTCTTTTTAAATATATGGTTATTTTCTTCACTTCTCGTTATGCATTACACTGTTAGAAATATAACTATATCATTATTAGCATTACTATCATCATTGTCATAATAATAATCAGTAACACTATAATTTTCATCATTATCATTAGCACCATCATCATCTTCATTACCATATCATCAGTACTATTTTATCATTTTCATCATCATTATAGCCTTATCATTATTTCTCTTCCCCCTTTGCTATTCCTCCTTCCATAAACACGCAACCCAACACATTTTTTTTCCCCTTTTTTCCCTCTCCTCTTTCTCGACGTCAAAAAAGAGGAGCGGATAGGGGAGGGGGAGGGGGAGGTGGGAAAGGGAGGGGAGGTGGTTATAACCTGCAAATATATACATTTTTCCTCCCTTCCGATTTGAGCAAGAATTTTCTCCCGATTTCGAACGCAGGGAACGCCGCTTATCGGTCGGGTAATTAACGGTAATATCTCCCGACAGAGCATTCCGTCGGCGCC